GTACAGCCAAAGGGGTACACGCCTTAAAAAAGGTTGAAAACCCCTGAGCTAGACTATTCTCAGTGTTGGCAGATGGCCGAACAAAGAGCAGCGGTCTCAAGTTGCAGCAAGGGAAGTTTAGGTTAGATATGAGGAAGAATTTTCTCACTAGGAGGGTAGTAAAAAACTGGAACAGGTTACCCAGAGAGGTGGTGGAAGCTCCATCCTTGTAGTTTTTCAAAACCCGGCTAGACAAAGCTTTGGCTGTGATGATCTAGTTGGGACTGGTCCTGTTTTGAGCAAGGGGTTGGACTAGATGACCTCCTGAGGTCTTTTTCAACTCCAACTTTCTATGATTCTATGAAATCCATTTCTCTTCCATGGATCCATTTCTAGGGCCCTATTCTTAGGCCTTACAGCTACAGCAGTGGAAGCTTTTGTGGTTTTCTTACAAATATTTGAATTAATGTCCCATGCTTCATCCAGCTTTAAGTTTTATATTAGTACACAGTGAGCGAATCTATATAAGAAGCTCAATGCTTAGTAGCCCAATAACACTGCACAGTAGCGTGCTGGGCAAAAACCATGCTGATACGCTACTGCACAGTAGTATTAGGCTACTGTGCAGTAAGTGTCACTAAGAAACCATTCACCAGCACTACCGCACAGTAACTGTAGTTACTGTGCATTTAGTTAGTACTTCATTAAGCAAGTACTAAACTAAATGTGCAGTTACTATTGTGCATTAAAAAACGTATAGGCGTGCCTAGTAATTATGACGCAGATTGTCCATGTCACCATCATCTGAACCTTTTAAAATACAAGTATAGAAAATGAGGTAGCATACATTTAAGGATAGGCAGTGTGAACAATACTGCATTTGAGTTATGGCAAAATGTGGTAATGGAATGAGTTGTCTTGAGTTATTGCAGAAATTCTCAATCTATGAATCTGTGGGCAGGGTTCACTTGCAGATCATCTTATGTTAACTAGCAAGTCATTTTGTAGTTAATCTACACCTTGTTTTTAGTTTCTGAATCTAATTAAAAGATGCAATAAACATTTCCCTACTATTGTTTCTCCATATCATAATTGCTGTAGTTACCACAGGGATATTACATAGTCATGAATGAGAGGGAGGTGTCCATGAACAATCTCTCTTTCATAGTGTGGATCACATCATACTAATATTGGAAGCCACAAATTAATGGATTGTTTTAGATGAGTAGCTAGTATAAAATTTTCCATAAAGGGATATATACGTATGCCTCAGAGTCAGGGTGAGCTGGCCAGTGTAGTTGTTAGAAGGGTCATTAAGGTTATTGAGTGGAGAGTTTACCAATGTATTCATGGCCCTATCTAAACCTCTTGGCAAAAATGCATGAGGGCCTTTCACAGTATAAGGATTGAACTACTTATACATTTCTTTTGCAATAAGAACTCCATCTTTGCTACCATCTTTTAGCTCTTTTTTAATGGGAGAACCCAAGTACATATGGCACAAGGGCTGCCAGAACTTCAGCCTTGTCATCCAGAACTGTTCTGGACTGTGTTAGTTGAGATTCTAGGATACTGCTGATCCAACTGTTGCTATCACTGTGGGAAGTCTACTGGTAGTAGCAACAGCAGCAAATTTGCAGGTTTGGGGTAGGTGGGGCTTGTTCAGACAGTGCCTTAAAGATTCCTAGTTAGCAAAGGAACTCCAGAAAGAATTGGGCAAATCAGCTCACTCAGAATGCCTGTGCCATTGGATAAAAGTACATGCTAGACCAGACACTCAGGCCAGGTACAGACATTATACTTTTACATGGATAAGTTTTCAGAAACTGGTCTATACCCATAACAGAACAGAAGTCCAACACACATAGACTAATTTAAAAATGGTGGAACCTGGTTTAAGATTTCCCCACCCCCTCACCAAGGGGCAAATGTCTGTTCTGCTCACTACTGATCTAAACACTGCTTACAGAAAATCACATAACTTAGATTGATTCCACCTCATGCTTTTTGAATGTCTGTACCTAGCTTCAAAGGTTTCCTCAGAATATATATGTTTAGAGCTAGTGCTAAAATAAATCAGACAAGTAACATGCAGGGGAAAGAACACAGGAAGAAGGACTCAGTGATTGAGCCAAGCTGCTAGCAAAGGGGCAGGGATGCAGGTATGTTAGACCAGCCTCTATATAGTTTCACTGCTGTTTTCCATCCTTGTTCAGCATGTCTGTGCCTACTCTTGTTAATACAGTAGCATCTTGTCTCTGCATCATTTTTCTCTCTCCCATTACAGAACAAGTCCTCTCTAAAGTAGTACCCTGTATCCACAACTGCTCAGAAGAAATATATATATAAAATGTTGTTTTACTTGAATAACTAGCGTTTCTAATTTATGTAAAACTGTATCACCAGTTTACATAGATATCATCGTGTAGCTAGAGTATTGGCTTCCTTCTGGGAGAGGAGTCAATGAGTAAGAGTTTTTAATTATCAGTCAAGTACATAGCCTCCAACACTGAGTCTACAAATAATGCTTGGAAAAACTCAAAAAGGTTTTTGTTAGCTAGTTAATGTTGAATAATATTTCTGAGAATGTCTTGAGTTCACTGCCCCAGAGGAACACAGATCTGACCATAGATTCAAGCTTATTATAGGATTCTTTTGTGCCATCAGCCTTTATCAAGTCTTTGCTGTGTTTAGCAGGACTTTCACATCTCACCTCACCGCCTCCTCTTCCACGTCACCAATGGAAGGATTTTCTTTGTCCAGGTCAGGAGTTAGCAGCAGCTGACTGCCTCTTTCCTCTTCCACTAAGAACCTACAGCTTGACTGTCTCTGCTTGCCTCTGCTGAGGATAACACCAGCACTGAGGTTCCTCCTCCTGTTCCTCCATCTCATCTGGCTAAAGAGTAGAGGTGGAGAGGGGTTATTACCTGTGGAATGCAACATTTCCAACCTATCCAGCATAGGTGATAATTGCAGCATTCCAGTGTGGTTAGCACAGCAGTGACGCAACTGCAGTAGAGCAGTAGAAGCAGAGCAAAGCTTCACTTTCAGGGTTTGTTGAATCTGTCCTGTAAACTACATTTCACAGGCAACTGGTAGGCGAGGCACATGCACCCCCCCCACCCCCCCGAGATTGGTCCCTGACTTAGCACTGCTCAGGACAGGGCAGTTTTTTTGCTGCATGGGCCGGCGGTGTGTTGGGGGAGGGGGGGAGACGGTCACTGAGCCATGGCACAGAAGTATAGGAGTGGATTATGGGGCTTTTGGCCCACCCACAAATTGTACCCCCCCACAGCCTCAGGAGGCACCAGTCACCCCTGCTATGTTTTAATTATGTTTCATATATTTTAAGCTTGGTCACTACAACTTTCTGTTGAAAATCAGAATGGGCTAGATATCTGCTCCCTGCTTTAGACAGCTCCTCATTCTGCTTCTGTTAGGTGAATATGAAATAATTATTCAACACTTCTGCCCTTCTTCCCTGCTTCCTATTTTCCATTAGCCGCATATAATTGTTATTTATTACATCTTATTAAGGTACATTGTGCTTTGCAGACATAAAACATGGTTCTTGTCCCCAAAAACGTATAGTTCTCAGATGTAACACGAGTGACAGCAACAGAAAAAGATTTAAAAACTTAAGAAAGGACGTAGGTGACCACTTAAAGGCTTCTTGGCTCAGACAACTAATCAGGTATGTTAATTGAAATAATTTAAAATGTGAGAAGTATTCACAATAAGAACAGGAAAGTGCCAGGGAATATACTGTTTGGGGGCATGGTCTTATCTATTTAGTTCAGGTAAATGTGGTATATTCTCAAGGGCTGTTTCTCATCTGGTATAGGCCTGCATGCTTCATAATTTCTGTAAGCCAATTTTCCTTGCATTCGTCCCTTCCATCTTAAATACTGCCTGTGTGCCACTGTTCAGCCCTGTGCTTTAGGGACTCCCCACGTATACCCCCATCAGCTCTGTCCTGCCACATCTGCTGTATGCCCTCTCATGTCATGGTCCTCTGTCCTGCTAACAACAGTGTATCTCTACTGGCTTCCTTGACATGGCCATGGCTTTCCAGGCCCCCTTCTTTCCTCCAGTATTTCTCCACCAGAGTTCTGATTTGCCATCCCTTTTTTTTTCCCTCCTCTCATGTCAGTGTACTCCACCCCCACCCCACCCCACATACCAGGGTCCACCATTCTCCTTGTCGGGGTCTATATTCATTCCCTTCCCCATCTGTCCCTTACCACTCTGGGGGCTCTCCACACACTTTCTCTTATCCGAGTCTCCCATTTCTCTTCACTCAGGGTGTGTCCCATTCCCCTTTTCCCCATTTCAGGAGTTTTGTGGCTGCCCTTATTCACCCCTCATGTCTCCGCCCTCGCACCACATTCAGATTGTCAGTGTCAGCATGCTAAACTTCATTGAGCAGAGACTGAAATATGGATGTTGTCATGCTGGAAAGCATTAATGGAAGTTATTACAAGTAATTTAATGAATATCCCTGAAACTATGGCTATGCTAAATGGATAGTAGGGCCTCCGTGTATCACCCATTTTGCCCCTTCTGGTTTGGTGATTTTCTCCAAAAATCTTTGGGGATCTACTGATGTCTAGAATATTCCCTAGGATTAATCAGATACAGTATTTTTGAAGATGCAAAATTATTCCATTAAAAACAAGAAAAAATGCTATCTTTTTGAGTATTTACTTGACCAGAGAGCTTGGGTATTTTAAAAGGTAAATACTACATTATCGATGAAACATGCTGCATTGTAAACAGATAAACAACTAGATTTCAAGTCACCTAATAGAAGCTTGTAGAATAGATTAATTAATCTGAATCCAAAAACCAGAGCTGGGCTGTAGTGATACCTTTATGAAGAGCTTTGCATGAAACTGTCTTCTCCAAATGATGTAATCACATTGAACAACAACCCAACTTTTCATGCAATATTTACCCCAAGCAAAATACATCAGATATCAACAAAACATAGAGACAGACATGGATAAAAAGAAATAGGCTATCAGCCTAGCAAATTAAATGTGTGTCTTTAGTCTGGTTAATTAAAATCTAATGAAAGCTTCTGCTTTGATGTAGATATAAGAAAGGTGTTCTAATGTGAAGTAATTCTTTATTTTTTATGTTTACAAATGGGGCTCAATACAATGGGTCCAACTTGTCTCTTGGGTTATCCTCTTTCACTCATGCAACTGTGGGTATGAATGCCAAGTGGTAGAAAATCCATACTTCCACCAAGGCATTCTTAGCCAGTCCCCAGCTGGGTAACATTCCCCAGGTGTTGTGAAAACAGACCCAGCCTATTCTTGGTCTCACTAAAATAAATGTGCTTCAAAGATGTATGCATGGCTGATTTTGAGTAGGGACCTACTTAAATTACAGTTTCTCAGTTTTCATGGAACTGTGAAAAATGGTGATTTCCATAACCACTGTGAAAAATGGCATTTCCTGAGATTTTGCATGGAATCGCTACTGAACTACTCAGAGGCTGAGCTAGTGATGTAGACTCAGTGAAGGCACTGTCAGGAAAGTGAAAGGGTTTTGGTGCCATCTTCTAAGAAGCCAGATGAAATACTACAGCAATGATGCAGTCTGAAGATGAGTGATTGGCCTCAGCACTGAAGGGGCTCACCATTAAAAGACTGCAAAATCAACTCTGCAAAAAAAAATCCATTCATCTTACCACGATTTAGGTAGGTCCCTAATTATGATAGAAAATAGGTATTGTAGTTATTGTCTCTCTCTAGTTATTGTAGCCCACTAGTTATTGTATTGTGTTACATGAACAGAGGGATACCAGAAGATAGTAAAAGTTGAGCCAAATCCAAACTTTCCTAAAGTTTGTGGTACTTGTCTCCATTATTATACATCCTCTCCATTGCTATAACTGATGCATTAAAAACAAATATTGTTACTAACAACCTATTAGTTAGACCATATCTTGTCTATAATATCATTGAGTATGGGAAGGATGTTATTGCCCAGTACAGCAGGCACTATGGGACTCTCTACATTATAGCAAGTCAAAAGTATCTGCTATGCAGTTAAATTGTTGTTGTGATTTATTAATTTGTTTCCTGTAGCACTCCCAGGCTGTTCAGTGTTTTAAAACTGAGAGAAAGGTGCAGTCCCTGCCCTGGAGAGCTCACCATCTATAAAGCAATTTGAAAAGAGAAGTTCTCAAACTAAACTGAACTCTTAAAGATTAGGCTTATGAAAATAGTTTGCTTTGGTAAATCATCTTTTTATCTTACTTCCCTGATCACATTCCCTGCTGTTTTAACACCCTCTTAAATCTCCTGCCATATGTTGCCATATTACGAGTGGCTATTATTAAGTTATATGTAATGGCATATACCCAAAACAGAGGCCCCATTCTTGGTGACTGTTCACAAAACCAAAGGTAGACATAGCACCTGCTCCACAGAGCTTGCAATTTAGAAAGGTAAATGCTAAGTTTGATTTATTTATATCCAAATATTAAAATTAAAATTGTGAAAATATACCTATCCATATTTCTCAATAGCATTCGTATTAATGGCATGCTTAATGAAATTCCACCAACTTTAGAGTGCTCATTCTGACAGGAAGCTGGTTGGATATCTACAGAGATTCCATTCCTTTTATTGCTATAGGAAGCCTGCCCTCAGCCTTTTCCAAAAACTAATCTGGCACATGTCTTTTTTGCACCATACTGGAAAGATATCACATTCAGGCTATTTCAGAACAAGGGCTAGAAGAACATCCAGTCTAAGGGCTCTCACTCAAGGATCTAAGGAGTTGTTTACACTTCATCAGACTTCCAAGTCTAGCATTTTTAGCAGATTTTTAGTAGGCAAAAGAGAAAGATGCCTTAAAGGAGGAAAAGATCATAGTCTTGGTCCATGGAGAGATGCTGTAGGAAAACATGTGGAGACAGGTGGGTCCAAGCTGGCATTGGCAGGGTGGAGTATGATGCGCTTAAGCGTCTTTGAATATCTAGTTATATTTGAATATGTATTGAAGAACAGGGCTGTAGATGACCTAAGTATGGGCACATCTACACATGCTATTAATACACTGTAAACTTACTGTGCAGTAGGGCTGTGCGAAGCTTCAGGTGGTGACTTGATTTGGAGGAGATTCAGCCTGATTCGGTGGCCCCAAATCCGAATCGAATCAGGGGACCAATAAAAAGGTCTGAATCAATTTGAAGCTCTCTGAATCTTCAGAAAAGATTCGGAGAGCTTTGATTGGGGCAATCTCCACCTGCTGCAGCACAGAGCTTGAGCCGGACTCGGAGCTGGTAAATGGGGGCGGGGGAGGGTGGGCGGGAGGAGGGGGGCCCATGGGGAGACCCCTCCCAGGCCCC